CTTGTGTCATGTTGAGTCGCATCACACGGCGAGTCTTGTCTTGTTCCTCAGTGTATCTCCCAACTCTCTCATCTGTGTATTGTTATATTACGTTAGTAGATGCTGGTTAGTTCATTGTTGTCTTGGTGTGAGAGAGGGACCTAGTGGAGTGGTGAGTGTGGGGCGGGGCGGGGCACTGTGAGGGCCAGCAGGAGGCTTGTGGTAAGGTGCGTGCCATGATACTCAGATAGGTGTGGATGACAGGCTGCAAGATAATAACAAATACATAAACCTCCCCAAAACTATGCCGATGTTTAGGTTGTGTGCCAAGGGGTGTGTCTGTCCTTGATGCCGTGTGTTGAAGGAAAGACCAACACTGCCTCCCTCTCGCAACTGACCAATTGTTTTACCGTTTGTTTCAACTCGTTTGGGGAGATAAAATGCAAGGTATCTGGCGGTAAGGATAATATGACTTTAGTACCCACACCCCGGGGGAGGACCACAGGGCGCCCGTGTTATTGTTGACATTGATGACGTATTGGTCGTGCAGGTGACTCAGGATACAACACCTGTAGAAGTACTCAGCGGCGATTGAAGTTGCTATGGAGATGGAGTTAGACGATGATGGAGTGTGTGGCCTGGCTCTCACATGGGGTACGCGGGTGGTGTGGCACTAAGGGGAGGACAACACCTGTCAGTAGCGGTGAATATAAACATGAATGGAGTATTGTGGTGAAGAATGGAGTGTGGGAGGGAGTGTGAGGACTAGGAAGTGTCGTGGTAGGGAGGGAGGGCGGTAGTGGTGGGGGAGGGCGTGGCCACGTTAAGCCGCCGATGGCCCTGTGATGCATAATAAGGGTGCGCGCGTCGCCAGTGGGGGGCGGTCACTGGACAGGCTGGTGTAGGTGCCCCCCCCCCAAACCCTCCTCCCTGCCAAGAGTTACACAACGAGCTTTTGCCGATAGTTTATTTATATTGTCTCATGAAAATTAAATCTACCCAAAAGAGAAGAGAACGAGTATGTTTATTATTGTTTGTTTGTGTTGATAAGTGTTTATCCTTTTGGTGTGGTTGTAGGTTTATCGGGACACTTAATCTTTACGTCGCGGGACATTTGAATTAAAAAAAAACAAAAAGATCAATTTGTGGGTGGGAGTGATGTGTGTTGGTGTGAGAGACGAGTCTTGGATCGGGGCGGGGAGGGGGCTGGTCTGCTGGGTACGTTGGGGCGGGGCGCTAGTCACCCTTCTCATGTTTCCTGCCCTCCGTGTATGACAATATAAATGTTGTATCGTTACCACAACTCATGACCCACACCTAGGGTCATCTCATGGCCCCCTCCCCTCCCCCTTCCCCCACACCTTCACACTACACGTTTCCTGTGAAGGTTCATGGCCTGGACGGTATATTACGCCTACGTGCCTTTTTTATATACGAGTAGGTCGGCAAGTGGTGTTCAGTCCACCCACTTCCCGCTGGTGCTTGTAAGAGGCGAACAGTTGGCACCTGGGCACCGTATCTTACACAGCGGCGTGGCACCTGGCCCGGCTCTCTCTCCACGCACACACGGTAGGACACTTGTTGCCGTAGCTTCTGTCACACTTGATCACTCGAGAAGCAACACTGTGAGTAAACTAGAAAGTGTTTATACGTACATGGAGTGAAGTATGTCTGGCAGGTCTCGCTGTCCGTCTCCGTGTTGTCCGTCGCCTCGCACCTCCGTACTGCTGCCTCGCTTAATACCTCTTGTCACCTTTCTCTATCGTGGAGGATTTTTTTTATTACGTAATCCGACAGGTGTGTAAATATGTACTTGTCTTAAGTGCAGTGTGTAGTGTAATATAATTGTTTTGGGTAATTGTGAGAGAGATGTGTGATAATCTCGAGTTGTCGGAGATGTTATAAGGATGAAGTGTGGCGGTCCTTCTCACCAACGCAGATAGATAGATAGTGTGTTTATTGACCAAAGCAGCACAGAATAATACATTAAAGAATTTCATTACAGTACTTGCCAGCTCCCACACTCGCTTGAGTCTGGGAAAGTTAACAACCTAACACGAGGTAACACACTTCACTATACAGTAGATAAACTTGAGAATTGGGTTATTTGGGTCGTTGTGTGTTTGTTGACGAGAAGATGGTGGTGGTTGTTGTAGTGAGGGGGGATGGTTGTGGTGAGGGGCGTGTTGGTGGTTGTGGTGCGGAAGATGGTGATGGTTGGTGGGGCATGTCACTAAGGGGATGATGTAGGCGGGGTGATACTGTAATCATCCAATTGAGAGAGAAAAAAGTCAAGTCAACGGCCCGCAACACCATATTGGTCGGGTCCTTAAATTACCAGTTACTACCTGAGGGAGACTTACGTATATCAGTCGAGTCAGGTTGAGTACCCACGATGATACACTGTGTCGTAACTCGTTAATGATAGGCTATAACACTGATGGACGAGGTTATATAAGTTTTTCCCTGCCCGGATTCTTGTCACAGGCATAATAAGAAAAGTATCCTAGTCTGTTGTGATCTGCAGTGAATATAATATGTTTTGACCAGGATAGTGAGCGTATTCCACCATCACACCCATGTAAATACTACAGTACCTGTATAGTGACTAGGATAAGCTATCTTTAATGAGTATGTTGTGTTTGGGTTGATAATTTCCCACGTGATAACTATTTTATCATGTAAGACGCTAGAACTGATACGTTGCGACACGCGTCTTTAATAAACAGTACACTCTTTCCTCTTGAACTATTTATAAAAAGTTGGATTAAACTGTGATAAGTAAATGAATCTCGCACCATGACGCTGAACTACAGTATGTGTAAAACTTGCTTACAGTGTAGATAAGATAGGTAATAAAATGTTTCTCAAATTCACGTGTATAATTTTGTGAATAGATTTCGTTTTGGAAAGTAAGTTAAGTTTCGGTGATTCCCGAGTTTGTACGTAGCAATGATAAGGCTCTCGTTTTGCCGTAAGTTATTTGAGTACCGAAAGATTAAATTCGGGTACATGTAAAAGCCACAATATCGGAAATTTTTTCATCTACTGTACATTTACGCGCCAAAGATTCCCTCAGAGAAGTGCGCTCAACCTTTCTTTACTGGGTGGACCACTGTGTAAGTTTGTTAGTTGAAGAGGAGTTCCTACCATTTGGCGAGGTAGATACTGATATGAACTGAGAGAGTCGTGCCTCTGATTAACAGTACAGTGATTTACAGGACCCATACAATGATGCACGATTCATATTCCTTCTTTGTTACCTAAGGGAGGAGGGGAGGCGATTGGTGGGAGTATGCAGCCCGGAGTTAGGGAGGAGCCTTAGTAGTACACCTAATTTGTAAGGAGGTGGAGGGAGGGTTAACGTGGGTCGTATTTCTTGGTTTAGCTTGAATATTTTACAATTGTGTGCATATTGGATATTAGTTTATTTAAAGAGATGCATCAGTGTGTCCGCTGTTTGGTTGCTATTGAGATCTCTGGCTTCAAATTTCGAGCTGGGAACAGATCGGCACTAGGAGTGACGGTTGAGCTGTGACCGCCCGTTACTGTGGACCGAGGGCGAGCCGCTGGATATATCGCGCCGAACGTTGGTTGGTCTTAAGACGGTAATGAAGTATATTATTGTCGTGATTGACTGATGAGCGAATTATTCTATCTCTAGTTGCAGGTTGAGGGTGACGTTAGAGGATAAGATACCTCTATACAAGGCTTCCTAGAGCCGTAAATGTTGTCTGGGTTGGTCGGTATGGGCGGGTGATGTAGGGGTCGCCAGCCTCTGGATATCAACTTCATTTACCGCTCCTCTTTACATAATCCTGTACTCCATTCTGATCCATTCGATGAGAGTTTTCACGTTTTGTTATTACAAGAATTTTATGGGACTAGTTTGCCGGTGCGGCCATGATTTATAGCGCAGTATATTTATTGGGGGATTTATTACATAAGGAGTTTACCCGTGTGCCGCGCAGTGAGGCAACTAGGGTGTGTCATTACTGGTTGGGCTCTCCTTAACTACACTGAACAAGTTATACAGAATAACATGCCCTTTGAACACACTTGCTATGAAGGATTAATGGCATTGTGTTTTGTACTTACTATTGGTTAGAAAGAAGACTAATTGATTTTGTACTATTTTCATTTGGGGAGACTTGTGTGGCAGGCATGATTCAACCCCCTCCCTACCTCACCATCAGTGGAGGGGTAGCAGACTGCTGAGTTCACTTAATGATACTAACATAAACACGTCGGTCATAAATCATAAGGGAGGTCACCAGGTCATGTAACGTGTTGGTTATGGCCAACCCAGGTGAGGAGGCTCGGCTCCCCTGCCCGACCTCTGGCAGCATGGATGTTCCAACACTACTTTCCTCCTGTGAGGCTTTTGGTGTACATAAATATTTATATACTGTATATATACTCAGTAAAAAATAATGATGCAATATTTGAGTGTGCGCCATAGTATGATTTAGATTTCAGTTAAAAATAAAAGCTCTGGAAATGGTAAATAGTACAGCAGCTGGAATAAAAAAAAATGGGGAGTAGAGATACAGTATATTAAAACCCCACATCCAAGGGTCAGAGGGGGAGGGGATGCATGGGGCGTACAATGATTTATCCGACGTCAGCCACAATACATCATGCCATATTCTTGTATGTACTGTAGCTTATACAAAATGGGAGAAGGGGGGAGACTTATCTATCGTAACCTTCAAAGGTTAATGTCCCATAAAAAGTAAATAGGATACAGTTATACAGTATGTTACAGTATTCTACTTACTAAAGCTGCTGTGTTATATTTATATACTGCAATGGTATTGTCAGATATTGATATTAATTTATTCGAATTGTTTATATAATGCAATTGTCAGATGTTAATATATTAAATTATTCTAACTGTTTATTCAATTTTTATACAGTTAGTATACTGTAATTGCTTTTCCTGTTTTTGCTGTCTCATGTAAGAGTATCAGTGATGCTGTTGCTAGACTGTTGAGTTTCATAGAGATTTCCTTTTACAGCAGCACATGAGCAGCAGCCGGAGTACGAGCAGCAGTCAACTGAAGAGATCGCAGCACACGTCGCACTCTCACTCATCCACAAACTTAAGCGAAGTCAAGTCTTCTAGTAACACAAGTGAACACAAGTCCTCGAGCATCAACAAATCGAACCTCTCAGAGCTCAAGTCGTCTATGTCTGAAGTCAAGTCCAACATCAGTGAAATGACATCAGTAAGTTACCTGTCTCAGGTCTCAAAATTAGTTAGCAGGGGGAAAAAAGATAAATTATCCACTGTGTCTGTTCCTCTATGATTGTGTGTTGCCATATTTCATTGTCTTGTTTCTTCCTTCATGTCTGCACAAATAAAATTACCATTCTTTATATATATATATATATATATATATATATATATATATATATATATATATATATATATATATATATATATATATATATATATATATATATATATATATACTGCATATATTGAAAGTGGCCTAGTTACATATTAAGGAGAGGTTTTCATAGTTGTACAGTACAGTACAGTATTTTTTACCACTGCTTACATGAACCGGCTTATTACTAATGTGTAGAGAATATCAAACAGTGTAAATAAATTATTTGATGTAAATAATTGTCATTATAAACTGCTTTCATGGGGCATTGATTAATTAGTTCTTTTTTCTCAACAGCAAAGCAACTATAACCGATCCATGTCCCTTGCCAGCAACGCAGCCATGCAGCAGAACGCATCTGCCGCCAGTCTTCAGGCAGGCTTTAACAAACGCAAGGCTTCAGGTTTTAACATGGGCTCTATGGATGCCCTTAATGATGCCCTCCAGATGGGGTCAACAGAGCAGCTGGCACTCCCTGGCGTGGAGGATGACTTTGATCTACAGAACCTCTCGGTTCAACCGGATCAGCTCAGTTCTTCACCCCTCACCTCAGGTTCAACCAATGGCAATAATCCCAAAGAGTTAAAGTTTGAACAAAAGAAAGTGACGTCTTCCTCAAAAACAAAGGTGAGACCCCAACTAATGTGTGAAGTTAAGCATTTTTACAATCGTTGATCTTTAAAGTACTGTACAATATACATATCGTACAAGTATGCATTATATTCTGTAAGGTAATGTATGGGAGTACTGAAAATATGTTTCGTCTCCTTTTACACAAAGTTGGGATAATTAGACTTGTTCAAAGTTATTTTTTTCTCTTAGTGTATAGAACTGTGCTCTTAATTTACTTGATCTCCGAAGCACATATTCCACTGCATTTAAGCGGGAATGAAATATAACTTTTGGATAAGGTATTAATAACGAGTACCTGTGTTTTATACCGTTTAATGATATATTTTATTAAGTGTTATTATTGAGAACACAAATTAGAAAAGAAAGGTTATAGGAGTACAGTGCAGTATTCCTTATGATATGATATTCATGTGATAATTTTGAACTATAGTAATTAAGTTCAATTTATGGTTTTTGCAGGTTGTGACCGATAAGAACAGCTATGAATCTGCTTCGGGCCAGTCATCAGAATCTAGAAAACTGCAGGCAGGCGACGTATCCTATGCAGAATTGTCCAAAAAGGCTGCAACCAAAGCGAAGATAGAGGTCGACGGTATTACAGCAGAGAAGGCCGCAGCTATCTCACAGGTAAGTCTATTGTCTTCACCGTCTGTAGGAAGTTATGTAACTGAAGAAGGTTTCTGGATAACTTTTCTGTAAATATATGATGATGTTCATAGTTGCATTTTCCTCACTGTAATTCTACTCTTTTTTATTATTCTCCTTTACCTAGTCCAGTCTCTATCAACACTTTTGTCCTTGTTTCGCTTCAAGTCAACTTAGAATTTCACGGATCCTTTTGAGTGGGTTTCAGGGAGTAACCACTGTAATGGCCTCGTTACTGTCTTTTCAGTATCCATCCCCATTTTTTCTCCGCTGTAATTTGTGTGAAAACTTTGTATGGTACTGTATAATTACCTTAAAAATCCTTCATACTGTATATCTTTACTGAATAGGTTTCCAAGATGTTTGAAGCATCGTGCTGTGTTTTACTCAGAATTATTCAATAATATGATTCCTTTTCAATTTATGAATTTATTATTAGTATTTTGATTAACCAACTCGGCTACACTAGTATTCACTCATATTACTTGGCTGTGTATATTTTGTGCTCCTCGGACATTTAAATCGGCAACAGGACTTAAGTCGGCTTCCTCATAACTGTTACCCCCCATGCAAGTGCTTCCTCAGTGCCATACTGTCCTCCAGATTTTACTTCAACAACATCATCCATTGCTCTGTCTTCATTATCTTCCTCACTACAGTATATCCAGTATCCTTCTTCAGTTATCAGATCTTAGAAAATTTGTTTAAGTTAGAGTCAGTTGTTCCAGAGTTGGTTTGCTGAACAAGGTAAGGCATTATAAAGACCCAAGTGATTTATAAATTATGATTAGGATATGACTTTTGAAAGTTATTGGTAGTTTATGCAATGTTGTATTATTATAAATGACATAAGAATGGTGATGCAGTGTATAGATGACAGTCAACAGAAATGTGGATTCAACACCATACAGCACACAAACACGGTTCTGTACTGAAGGTTCCACTCCTCTTGCAACTCAACCTCACTTTCCCTAAAGACTCGCAAATTTTACTATCTGCCGTTTAAGAAACATTCTGTCTCATGTTCTTGTCTGATATTAATATATTACAGTTAAATTGATATTTGAGCATATATTGCTTCTCTTGTCCCAATTTGTAATATTTCACTATTGTATTTATTTATTTTTTTTTAGACCCAGTATTCTCTTTTATTTGCGTTCGCTTTCACATTGATAAAATGTATGTAGGGAGGATGTTAAAAGACTCTAATTTTTTTATGTATCGGGGCCAACGTTATTATGTGCGTGTGACGTATCTACTCTCGATGAAAGAGGAAGAAGGAAATTACAAGTAAAAAGAAATAATGTGGTCAAGAGCAGATAAATGGTTAAATAAGATCCAAAGATAAAAGAAATGCAAAAGTTAGGAGATATGGAAATAGAGGTGCAAGATGGAGTTGACCAGAGTTTGATAAGGTGGTTTAGATATATTGGATTGAATGGAAGTGTTGTAGTGTACAGCTTTGCCCCAACTTCGGTGTCATCCATTACCTTTGCCAGAAGTACAGTACCTCTAGAGAGATATTGAGGAATCGAGGACAAGATGCTACTTTGCCAAACTCCTATACAGTACTGTATTATCAGGCCAAACAATAAGCGTCCTCTTTATTTGTACTGCATTTAGTTTCTACTTCTGTCATACAGTACCTAAATAATCTCATGCTCTCCCATAGTCACCATCATCACACAGTATCAATAACTACAATGAAATTCGTATAAATAGAGAAGACTTGATTAATCTCACTTATGATTATTTCATTTCTCCTCTTGATAGTACAGTACAGTTAGCAGAATACCTTTCAGAATTATACTCCTGTGGTTCAACAAACTCAGTAATTCCTACATTCAGCACAGTCTACTTGTTTATGTAGTGATATAATGAATGTTTTCTGCTAGTTTTATCATTGTATTTACTGTCTGATGATCTGTTTTGAATCTCACACCCAGGTAGGATCTGGTGTTTATAATTGGGGTAACTTATCATCTGCTTACGAGAATAAATTCACTGCATTATTGTTATTGTGTATGTTCGACCAGGGACTCCCACTTCACTCATTGTTGTCCTCCGTAATAATCAGTTGGTTCATGTTTGCAAATTTGTTGAGGCATTCACGGCTTGGCCATAACATGAGCATATGCAAATTTACTCCTGGCTCCTCTTGCTCCAGTCCAATCTATTCACAATTTTATGTTGAAATCCTTCTTGATCAATAACACATTGCTCTTGCCAGCTGCACTAATGGCCTCCTACACCTGGGAGTAGGACTGATCTGTGATATCTTCATTTACATCATTAGTTGGAATGGTCATCTAAATAATTATCATTATTCCCGTTGCTCAGGACAAGTGCCATGCCCATATCATTATTCCCTTTGCTCAGGACAAGTGCCATGCCCAATCATTGCCTTTATGCAGTATTCCATTGTTATTTCCTTTATTCTGGTCTTACCCCTTCTTGCCCAGGGTTTCTTAGGCCCAAACACCTTTTTGTCTTGAAATTGAATACTATACAGTACAGTTAGTTTTCTAAGTGTGAAAAACTGTTTCCCCAAATCCTTTAGGTAATGGGTTAATTGAGTTTGAATCCAACAAAATATACAAGATAGTGATTAATGTAGATGACTGAACATGAAAAAAAAATCAATCAAATGTAGGCAAGTTATAATCAGATTGGTTTTTTGTGAAAGTTTATATTTATTCTGCCCCTGATAGCTAACTGGAGAATGTTGGAATGAGGCATCTGTTTGTGGCCTAGTTAATTCTATTTTGGTTGAAGTAACTTCATGCTGCTCTTGTGTTTGCATAGTGCTTGTTAGTGTACAAAACATATAGAAAGGACTCGCTAGTACCTGTACATATAATAGTATCCATATAGACTAGAGTGAGTGTAGGTGCACCATGAGCGGGAACAGTTCCCCTCACCTTTGGGCCGCTCAAGGACCATCACATTTTGTACCCTCCTACTTGGGTACGTGCCTGATGTGCGTTGGTGTTTCCCTCGGGATGCCTAGAATTATTTATATTGATTTAAGCTTTGTATATTTCCAACACAGAAGCGCTGAAATTCGGTACTCTTCCTTGCCATATCGGTTCTCTTCCTCCAAATTTGCCTTTTGGGGTTTTATCTTAACACAAATGTCTCGACAGTTTATAGCCTTCTCTTAGCTGTCTTCTGCCACACTTGTATTATGATGTTAACCTCACAATTATGTCATTGAAAATTTTACCTTTACAGTAAAAATGACAGAAACAAAAATCATACTTAAATTTAGTGTTTATTGTGCTTTTCAAAATTCAAGATCAATATTTTTGCCTTTGCACGATCTGTAGACCTTAAGCTATCACACCAGATTCATAGTCATTGATATAATTGTTGTTTGCATTAATAGGTGTTCACTTATTATATTTAACATTTTATCAGTTGCAATTCATTAATCCATTACCTAATACAGTCCGTTTTATATTTACAATTTAAGTAATTTTGATCTGCAAGTGAGTTACATTGTCTACCCCGTCCAAGTTAGCCATACTTTATATACATACCTGATCTTAAACACCTTTTTCACTCTGGGTCTTAGAATGTAACCACTGGGACGATTTTATTAACACATACTCGAGAATTTTACTTGCTGTTTGCACTACATTATAACTGAAGTACAGCAGTTGCCCTGTGCTGCACTTGAGAAATAATCACAGATGGGTAGAGGGTTGCCTTAACAAGCATGTTTAAGCAGGGTATTAGAAGTAGGAACAGAAAGACACACAAATAAGGAAAGCAATATAAGACAAATTGGGGAAATATGCCATTTCAAAAAGTCATATCAAACAAAGGATTGTTTTTATTATAAGAGTCAAACGCTACACAAAAATTAACCACGATAAAGGCTGCATAAATAGTGATATGCAGAACTGTATACCTCAAGATTAGTCTTCGGATTAACAGAAATACATGGACATCCTAAATATTGTTAATGTATGGAAGGTCATTTAGAATCACAATGCAGCTCAGATGACGTTAACAAGTGTGCGAAGTCTCTATTTATCTTGCACGCCTTTGTGACTTGGAGGAGGATTTAAATTTCATGTGTGGAGTTTTTATCTCTGCAGTATCAAGTTACCAAAAGGATGTCTCTCTCAACTGAAACTAAATATCTGGCCTGTTTTGTTTGCCACACTTGACCCTTTTAAAGACTTTCTGAATTTTGTTTTGTGCTTATGGCTTTGTTTACATACGAATAAATTGAGAAATATTAATATATGTACTGTACTGTATCTACTGTTAATGTACTGTACTTAAAGACATCTGCTTAGTTAATACAGTATATAGAACAGATTTACTGCATCACCATCACCGTTCTCTCTTATATAAACACACATCTTTTGTCATAAATAACTGAACGAGGCTTTCCTGTGTAGCTATTATTTCTTACGTGGCACCACGCCCTATGGTTGCACTACGTAGATAGATTAGTCCCCCTTGATTATATTTTTTTCTCCGTTGAAACTTGAGTGTGGGAGGTACTCTGATATTCACATGATAACCCCTGGACATTTCTTCACTGTCACTTTGTTATACATACCGGACCGCTAATTTAATGCGACTCGGGAGGAGGTGAAAGGGAAAACATTTTAGCTGATAGATTGATGATCCAATTAGCGAGTGAGAGGATAATGAAGACGTTGCAGAGTGGATGGAGTAAGTGAATAGTTTTTAGGTCTTTGTCATGGAGTGTCTGCAGGATATATTCCATAGTAGTGTTGCTATGAGGTGTGAAGAGCAATATCTTAAATGTGGGCAGTGAATTTTTTACAGTTATAGACCTTTTTCCCTCGATTGTTCCAGAAGCTTCGTGCGTAAAATAACAACACTTTACATCATTTTGGTGTAGAATCGACAGTATATTGTAATATTTGGTTTGGTTCGGACGAAATACAATCTTTTACAGAATTGAAAAAAAATATCAGTCGACCAGTGGATATTTT